TAAGATTGCTAGATGAAATCAAGAGTTTAGACAGACGTCTAAATGGTAAAAGTAAAACTTGATTAAATTATATTAAAACCTATTAAAAAATCTGCAAAATTTGAAAAAAGGTAAAACTATATCAAAGCTTATAAAATAGCGAAACCATATCAAACACTTAGTAAAAATTTAGTGAAACTAAAGGTTTACCCGTTTTGCCAAATCCAAATGAGTTTAGACAAGCAACCTTAGCATATACATGTGATAAGTTGTAATTAGTATGATATTTACTATTTAATTATAATAAATATGATTAAAAATACTTATCTTTTATGTTATTGAAAAAGCAGAACATTTGTGAGAAGTGCTGGAAAAATGGACCAAATTGATTTTTTTTTTAAAAAAAATTCCTAAGTAAAATAGATGTAGATTTGGTCATTTGATTCAGATTATTTGTTATTTCAAAAAAATTTTTTTGTCGATTTGGTTCTTTTTCTTAGCATTCACCCCATATGTGTATATTTCACCAGAAGTTTTATTATGAACTTAATTATATTGAGTTCTTTTAGGTGAAAGCAAAGCAGTACTCACATTAATACTGTAATTATTTATTCAATCACCTTAAGGAAGTTGTACTGCATGCATTAGATTCTATTAGCTTAAAAAAGATTTGCAGGTTTTTACATCATTTTACATGTTATATGAGCACTTATAAACTTAGACTTTCAGATAAAACAGCTGTCTTTGCAGTTAAGCAGTATCAGTTTTATTGTAGAATTTATAAAACCATTTTAGAAGAATTTAGTAATATGTAAGATGTAAAAAACAATTAAATATGATCATATGAATAATATACACCAATAATATTTCTTTTATGTGATACTAATGGTACTAAAAATCTTTCTATTGCTATTAAAATTAGCATTAAAAAATTTTTATAATAAAATAAACAAAATAAATACATAGTTTTGTAGATTATATCAAAGGCTATTCACATTAACATATTTTTTTTAATGGTTATATGTTTAAAAATCATTGGATGTGACTAAGCCATTTGCATCATACTTGATTAAAAATTCAATTTGGTTAGTTCAAATAATCATCAATTTACATATGATTTAAATTGATTAATTTGATTGAATTATTTTGAAATATCATATTCAATAATATTTTCATATGAATTCCTTATTTTTTTTTATTGATTTCAATTAATAATGACATTTTGTTATAATATTTTAAAATAATAAATTATATTATTAAATGTTTTAAATTATTTTCATAATTTTATATATTTGATTTGTAAATCATTTATAACTTAATAACTCGCAAAAATAATATTAAATAATTTTACATCATTTATATTTATAACAAAATAAATATAAATTGTTTTATTTATTTATTGTTCTCTTGGAATTAATCTAAATTTTGTCTAGACTGAATTATTATTTTCAAAATCATTTATCCCGCAATTTTTAACAAAAGACCATAATCAATATAAGCAAACGTGCCAAGCGGAGTGGATGGGTGGCGAGACAATGTTTAGAAAGAAAATGACTGGTTGTCATGATAGGTTAATAACGTTAGATTAGTTTTCGGCTAATTTCCTTTCGAAGATGCCGATCCTCCGATTTACTGATTACTAAATTCACCTTCCATTGTCTTCAATTAAGCTTTTCCATATCAATCCGACGATCAAATCTTTTTTTAAAAATATCAAATATAAAAAAAATTACATATTTATCAAATAAACTCCCTACTTAAGATATGAAAAACTTACAGATAGTTTACCATATAATTTTCAATAAAATTTTAAATGCGAATTTTGTCCTAGGACATAATAAAAAATTTTTTAGATCATTGTAAAATATTTTTTGGAGTAAGATCCTTTTTAATATATTAGGTTTAGCAAACCTTTTAACTTTGAAAAACTACCAAAATTTGTTTGATATTGTTATAATAATATGAGATGAAATAAGATACAAAATGAACATTAAATTAGTGTGTTCAACCGTTCGTGTAACTGATAAAAAAGTAAAAAGCCCAATGGTACGTTTTCTGTAGAATTATACATTTACAACGTATAATACTCTACACCTACATTGTGATGCATTTAAAAAATATTAAAAAAAATTTAATACCTTCTTGCTTATTAATAGCAACTTTAATAACTTTATATGTGACCTTTCCGTTTTCACCGACATTCTTTTATGAAATTAACTCTACGAATAGCACGAATAGCACCCTTGGATTCAGTCATATTTATGTCATAAATCTTGTTCACCGAACAGATAGGCGTCATAATATGGAGGCTATTGCGAATGCTCTTAGCTTGGATTTTGATTTTTTCACGGCCATTTCCTATGATAACGAAACTCTTAACGAGTATAAGAGTGATTTGTCACCTTCTCACAAAGCTTGCTACGTTAGTCATTATAAAGTTTGGGAATTAATAGCCCACCAGAAATATGAGAGTGCCTTGATTTTAGAAGACGATGTAGACTTCGAAATGAACATATCATCAATTGTATTTAAAGTTCATCGTGACTTGCCTGTTAATTGGGAAATGGTATATCTTGGACATTGTTCTAACGAAGGGGATTATTTCTTTAAATTTCACCATTGGTTTAATAAATCTTTGTATAAACTGTTCAAATCCAACGTTCCAGTTTGTACACATGCCTATGCTGTTTCATCTTTGGGTGTCTCCAAGATACTAAAAGAACTTATCGACCCAAAAGATCCGATTGATTGGGCATTGATCAATAAAATTCAAGCGGGAAAAATCATCTCATATAGCCTACAGCCATCAGCAATCGTTCAATGGAAATCTTCTGTTAACCCATCAGATGTTTCCCCCGGAGCAATGGACGCACCATGGGCTTTGGAAAATTCCACCATGAATTTTCTTGGTTTAACTTAATGGCATTTACGTTACCTTTGTAATTGAAGTTGGGACAAGCTTGGCGCTATTTAAGAAAATTTGAATAGTCTTTACTGAGCGGGATGGAAATTTACCTATTGATTTATATTATAGACAGCTAAATTAATAATTTGATTGTTCGCTCACATCGGCCTCCCTCAATCACAGATCAAAGTTAAGTAATCAGAATCTTTGATTTCAAAATTTGAAAATAATTTTTTTAACCATATGCATGCATAGGGGAACGTTGCCAGTAAAATCAAGTCATGAGATATGTAGTAAATAAATTATATGGTCCATAATGTGATTATACTGACATCGCTCCCATATAGCATGTCATTCCGATCAAAGTCTGTTGACCAGATTTTTGTAGACATAAGTAGTGTTTGTTTTCCGAATTAACCAGATCTTTTATTCGCGATAATTATTGGTAAATTAATTTATAATTACCAAAAATTAGATATAATAATAATAAAATAATTTAAGATTTAAATATTAACGATAAATAAATAAAGTAAGGGAACAAAAAATATATTCAAAGTTTGCAAGTTATTTAAATGATTTATTATAATTTCAAAAAAATATTATGAACGTGATGCAAGAAATGTCGACCCTCTATAAAGTCACCTCGTGACATCATATTGCTTTTTATAAACATCCCCAAATTATTTGGTCGCCAGTAAATTTTAACCCCATGTGATCGGAGACATCTAAGGGATTTGCATTTTAAAAATTACTTAAAAATATCTTTTTTAAAAAAATCCGCCAATTTTTATATAACCAGTATTATCATCAAATTTAATTTAAGTTTATAATTTAAGTATTATAATTAATTAATATTTAATCAAAAAAAGTTATTTTCAATTAAAATATTATCTTTATATATTTCTAATATCTTACTTATTATATTAATCATTATCATTTATTTTGATTACAAATATATAAGAATCAGATAATTTATATATTCAATATTACCATATATTACGAACCATAGTATTCCTTATATGTATTGTATTCCCCTTTTTTTACAGTTACATTTTCTATAATTTTAACCAGAAATTGCGCATTAAACAATTTATACAAATCTTTTTTTTTATAATAAAAATTCAAGTTATAGACTTTGTAGTACAAGGTCAATCATCCGAAATTTGCGGGGTACTATGGTCCGCAATATGCGGAATATCTTTTCTTTAAAATTTTATTTATAAACTAATATATCTAACCTTATTAAAAGATATTAATATTAATTTATTCTTTTTATTTCTTTTCTGCTTATACATTATCTGTATTTTAAAAAGTTTTCTTTTTTATGTCTAAGCACAAAATATGAATGATAATGATGTCGTGCATTCCACCAACTTTAAGTTTGTCTTTAATGCATTAATCTTTTCTGATATCTAATAACTTCATGTTTTAAAAATGACTCTACAATTGGGTTAATTTCTCCGACTTCTACCATGCCTCATTTATTAGGAAAGCCGTTAGTAAGTCAGAATATACCTGATTAAATGTCATTATATATTTATAATTACACAAAAAAAATGGAATTTCAAAAGTTACCACGTATTGATTGCATTATTTTATTAATAAATTACCACAGAAAAAAAATCACGTACATACTACAATTTTTAACACCGATCACTTACCAATATGTACTGTACATTTTTCCGATATATGGTAATTCCTATTATACGTGACAATTAAAATTTTATATTTTTATTGGATTTTTTTTATAGGTGAAGCATTTACAACAGCTCCAACAACTTTTCTGCGTCCAAAATTCCTTCGATATATTGTTTAAGCTTCTTAACACGAAACTATTCAGTAGAAAGTAGTAAGGGTTCGTATATTTTTACATATTTTACAAAGACACAATATAAATTACCTTGAAAGCTAGCATAACCTCAATTATACTTGATAATTGATCTATTTGGTCAGCATTATCCGGAATTTCAAACCTATCCACTTGGTCTACCAAGTAAAGGCCATTGACCCAATGCGTAGAATATATTCGGAAATCTCTTTCTAAACAAGGAGATTTAAGGAAGATTAAAACCAAAAGTGTAATAATAAGGGAGCAAAACAATACTTACTATAAACCAATATTCCAAATGTCTCTAGATGATCTAGCATTTGCACTTGAATTCTTTTTCTAGCAAAAATTGCCGCAGCCTAAACAGGGCTAGTTGCATCGCTATTTGAATCAAAACAAAATTGTTGGTATAACTTCCATAAGTCAATAAAATTAAAGAACATACCTTTCAACAGTTTTTCCCTGTCCTCACAATATTTATTATCGTTATGAAAGCAGGGGTTTCCCACCACTTCACCACAACCAACTCGAAAATCAAGACCAGTAATCTTTATTGACAATGCTGCATCATGTGACCAACATATAGCTCTCCGTTGTTCTGATTTTTGATCTAAATTTTATATTTTCCCACTATTTACATAATGTAATGGTACCAGTTTTATTAGAGAATGTTTTTAGAAAAAATGCAAAGAAAACGTAATACTTACGTTTGCATATAGATTATAGGACTGAGATCTAAGAAAATATCTTCCAATAGACGGTTTATACGGTCACGGTATGCAAACTCAGAAATCTCTTTGTTATGAAAGAAATTCAGCATGTGAAAACATGTTATGCTATCATACAATATATTGATTATAAAGGTTAGATGTTAATGGTAAATAAAATAATGAAATTAATAATATACTTATAATGTAGTGTATACATGCTGAACCCACTGGAGAGGCCAATCTCTTCTAAATTGTAATCTGTTTGTTTTGAAAATGTATTTTCGTTCACAGTCATTGCTACTTTGCTGATATCTATATTAATTCCAGTTAATGAATTCTTGATTGATTCATTATATTTTTCTAGGAGATTCTTAATGTCTTGCGATACTATTTCTGATATTGATTTGACAATCCGGTCTTCAATCTATAAAGAGATTATATATGATGTAGTTGTGACAACCCTACAAATCAAATATACAGTTAAGTACACAAACCACGCTCCAAGAATCCTCAGATTGCTTCCATTCTACTCTTCCATTGTTAGTAATTTTTTTATAGGGTACTCTTCATTGCTTTCAGGCAAAAAAATTATCTTGTATTGTGCAATGTCTTTGTTATAAATTTGAAGTTTAGTTACAATCGAATTGTCTACTTTCTATAATTTAAACAATGCATTAATAAATAACAAAATAAGACTTATAAGGAATAACAAACAATGAACCTCGAATGATGTGAGCTCAGATAAGAACTCGCTTTCGTATTTATCATTTTCATCAAGTACATACTGTTCTTTCAATGATTCAATGCATGGAGAGCTTAAAGCATCCAAAGCATTGGAAAGACCACCCGATATAGATACACCTGCAGGAGGAACAGTTCTCTGGTTACACAAAATTCCAAATCTAGTAAGGAGATGATACATTGTTCGACCAATCAAAATCATGAATTTTAATATCGAAATCACGTGATTCTCAAATTAAAAATTGCGAGTTAGATAAATTAATGTATTTATTTCATAAT